AAAAACGAGTTTTTTGAAACCACAGGCATTAGGATTGATTTGATACATACAATAGATAATATTAGGTACATGGGAGGTATTTAGTAAGTGGTAGGCTTTTTTTTTTGTTATTTGAACTTCTAAGAAGTGAGGTTACTATATGAAAAACAAAAAAGACCCCAACAATTTCCCCTCCAGTAAATTTCCTTTGACAAAAACTTTTGGATTGATGCCCAAAGATCAAGTCAGTATATTTTAATCCTGATACCAAAATAATGCAGGTTGATCAATACTCCTCAGTCAGGGATGAGCTCATCGTGGAACAAAGCTTGGAAGTGCTGCTTTCTGGGGAGGACCGTGTGTGTAGAGAATGCACACCGTGTAACTTTACAGTCACGTGCCGGGCGTTGGTGGCACACGCCTTTAATCCCAGCACTTGGGAGGCAGAGGCAGGTGGATCTCTGTGAGTTCGAGGCCAGCCTGGTCTACAAGAGCTAGTTCCAGGACAGCCTCCAAAGCGACAGAGAAACCCTGTCTCGAAAAACAAAAAAAAAAAAAAACAAACAAACAAAAAAAACTTTACAGTCACGTGTACTGGATTGCTCTTTCCGGGCCTCATTTCCCCTTTGGGGTGAGATGTTGAACCTAACCTCACACAAGATGAAAACAGATAGGGTAACCTCTTCATTCACCCACCCCACCCGTGATTCTGCCCCTGATTTAACCATTCTCAATGGCCTGGCCTGAGCTCTATACTTTAGCCTTCTCCTTCTTGATGACAGGGTCTAGCTATGTAGTTCTCCATGGCCTGGAACTCAATAGGCAGGGCCATACTTAGACTCTACCTTCTCCCAAGTTCAGGGATTACAGGCTCATTGTACCCCAGGGTGGCTTCAGTTTTGGGGATTTTGTTTTTGTTTTTTGTTGTTTTGTTTTCCTTTTGAGCTGAAAGCTACTATGGTGCACAGGCAGGATCCCAACTCCTGGTGAGAGGCAGCCTCCTGCTCCAGTCTTCCAAGTTGAAGTAACAAAGAGTCACCAGCATACCCAGCTGCTTTGCTCTCTTGGGTCATGTAAACAGAAGCAAGTGTGAATATGTGTCTAGCTCATATGTAGATAATATGTAGATACAAATTGTGTATCTTCGTTGGTGGCTTTCAAGAATGGAATCATGATGCACAGGTTCCCTGCAGGTTGCTTGTTTCATGAGACAGCAGATCCTGATCTTTACACAGTAGCCCATGTCTCCCTGGCTGCTGTCATAAGTTGTCATTAATTTGTGAGTTAAAGTAGGGCAAATTTATTTATTCCTTCGGTTTTCTGCAGGCCAGAGAGGTTCAAGATCAGATTTGCCTTGTTACAATCAAGTCTAAAGTTGTCAAGGCTGTTTCTTCTGGAGGCTCTGAGCTTGGAGCAGCTACCTGTATTGAAGTGTATCACCCGCAGTCCCCTTATGGAATTTCTTCTGGTGAAACCCTGGCCCCCTATGCGCCATTTCCCTCTGTGAGAACACGTCATTTATGACCCACTAGATAATACAGGGTCACACTTCCCCATCTCAGGATGTAGACTTTTATCAGAGCTCCAAAGTCCGTTTTGCTAGGTAAAACCACCACTGTAGGTCCACAGATCCAGTCCATATTTGGAGGTGGGGGCACATCATCCAGTCTGACACATTTGAACTTCTTTTTAAGAGATCTGTTATATTTATTTTATGTATACGGATTTTTTTCTGCATGTCTGTCTATGTACTATGTGAGTGGCTGACAGCCTTGGATCTCCTGGGACTACAGTTACAGATGGTTGTGGATGACTCGTAGCTGCTGGAAATTGCACTCAGGTCCTTTGGAAGAGCAGCTGGTACTCTCAATGGATAAACTATCTCTCCAGCCCAAAATCTTCTCTCTCTCTCTCTCTCTCTCTCTCTCTCTCTCTCTCTCTCTCTCTCTCTCTCTCTCTCTCTGTCTCTCTCTGTTAAACTCGCGCGCGCGTGTGTGTGTGTGTGTGTGTGTGTGTGTGGTGTGTGCTCATGTGCAGGACACTGTTTAATTTTTTTGGTAATTTTTCTTTTCTTTAAAATTAAAAAAATTTTTCCTCTTTCTGGGCGGTGGTGGTGCACGCCTTTAATCCCAGCACTCCGGAGGCAGAGGCAGGCAGATCTCTGTGAGTTCGAGGTCAACCTGGTCTACAAGAGCTAGTTCCAGGACAGACTCCAAAGCTACAGAGAGAAAACCTGTGTCACAAAGAAAAAAAAAAAGAAAAGAAAAAAGAAAGAAAAAATTTCTCCTCTGCTAACCACTCATCCCCCACACCTTTTTTAGGTGATTGGGGGCAGGTGTTGGTGCTACAGATAGACTCTAGAAGCCCCAGGCACGGTTAGCTCATTTTAGGTACCTGCTTTACCACTAGGAGATCCCTCCCTGGCTTTATTTTAAGGTTATGTGTACTTACTGATGTAGCCCATACCTTTCTCTGTTACCACACAGGAAACAAAGAATTCTAAATATCAGGAGACTGAGTAGAATTGTTACAGTAGTTACTTGAGGGAACTAGCAGAGGACAGTGGATAGAGACGGTTTTACCCTGAAGCAGCCTATTCTTAGCAGGGGTCTTCTGGAAGGCTGACAAACTGACTCAGGCGTGGTGAAAGTTCAGAGGCCTGGGGGCTAGAAGACAAAATTCAACTTGGGTTAAAGCTGGGTGTGGTGATAATGGTGTAATTACAGCACTAGGACGATGAGGCAGGAGGGTCATGATTCCCAGGCCAGCCTCAGTGACATAGGGATACTCTATTTCTAAATAAATAAAAAACAACAGGCAGGCAGGCGGTGGTAGTGTACACCTTTAGATCCAGCACTCAGGAGGCAAAGGGAGGTGGATCTCTGAGTTTGAGACCAGCCTGGTAGAGTTCCAGGACAGCCAGGACTATACAGAGAAACCTTGTCTCAAAAAACCAAACCAACCAACCAACCAACAAAAACAAAAACAAAATTTGGTTAACAAGTACTTTGTTCTGGTTAGTCACCGGGCACAGGTGGCTCAGTTTGTCGTTTATAAGACTGGGAATCTGAAAGGTCATTTTTGGGTCTTATACAACCATATGGGGAGGTATTTCTTTGTACTGTGTCATTCACAAGAGCATAGAGGAGTACAGGGTTCAGGTGAAATTCTACACCATATTTTTTTTCTTCTTTTCTTTCAGAGTTTCTTTGTGTAGCACTGTGGCTGTCCTAGAACTTGGTATGTAGAACGGGCTAGCATCAATTCAGAAAGACCCATCTGCCTCTGTCTCCCAAGTGCTAAGATTAAGGGCCTAGGCCACAATTTCCAAAAATTCCACATTGCCAATATGTAGAGTTTAGGGACTGTAGTTCATTCGTCCTTCCCCTCACCCCATCCAACTAGAGACAGGCAGGTCTCATGTATTTAGACCGGCCCTGGATTCACTATGTAGTTGAGATGACTTTGAGTTTATCATTCTGCCTCTACCTCCCAAGTGCTGGGGTTACAGGCATGTGTCACCACTCCTGGTTTTCTTCGATACTGGTGTTTAAACCTGTGCCATCTGAGCCGTATCCCAAGCCCCTACACGTGCTTCTGATAATGTCAAAAGGCTTCATCAACTTGTTCTTTAATATTCAGACAGGCTTCTTTGGTCGTTCTCCCTATCTTCAACTATCTATCTAAACATAGACAATACATCTGTCCATCTAAGTAAATAAACAAAATATCTATTTATCATCTATCATCAGTCTATGTAACTGTTATCTTTGTGTCTGGAGATGAACCTAGAGCCTCAAGTATGCCGAGTAAGTACTCTACCATTGACCTATACCCTCAGCCCTTACTTTAACACGTATTTTATAATATTTATTTTAACAATTATAAAATAGTTTCATCCAGTCTCAACTTATCCTGAGGACTTTATAACCATCTGATCCAGTCTATTTTTTCCAAGTGTTTATAAAGAAATTTTGATTAAGTCCTTTTTTTAATTTTTTTTTTTTTTTTGGTTTTACGAGACAGGGTTTCTCTGTATTGTTTTGGAGGCTGTCGGTCCAGCCTGGCCTCGAACTCACTTGCACCACCACTGCCCGGCTTGATTAAGTCCTTTTAAAGTTAGAAAAAAATAGCTGGGTATGTTGGCCAACGCCTTTAGGCCTAGTACTAGGGAGGCAGAAGCAGGTGGATTTTTGTGGGTTCCAGGCTAGCCTGATATACACAGCGAGTTCCAGGATAGCTAGGACTATTTAGAGAGATCCCATATTAAAACAAACAAACAAAAAACAAAATAAGCAAATAAAATTAGAAAAAATTCAAGGCATGATGGTGTATACCCCAGCCCTTGGTAGGACTGCTCTAAACTGGGCTACTTAGTAAGCCTGGGCTACTTAGTTGAGTTTCATACTACCTTGGTCTCTGGAGTGAGATTTTTGTCTCAAAAAGGCAAAAACAAATACAATAATCGTTTAAGCTTTGCAGTGCTTGTAGTTAGTAAAGTTGAGGCTCTTTTAGCTACAGTTTCCAAATTACTACTTTTTTATAATTTTTTTTTCTACATTGATATGATTGTGTGTTTGTGTGTGCTACTGCCTGGATGTGGAGTTCAACTTGCCGGAGTCTACTCTCCCCATCCACCAAGTGGGGTCCAGAAATCCAGCATAGACTTGGCTTCAGCCGCCTTTACAGGCTCAGCCATACCTACCCCATTGTTTTGAGGCAGGATCTTACTTTACTCAGGGTGATCTAGAACTACACTATCTTGGGCTAGCCTCCAACTCAAGGTCATTCTCCTACTTCAACCTCCTAGCTCCTAGGAGCTGCGATTAAAGGCGTGAGTCACCAGTTGGTTTAAAAGCTGGCTCTTGTCAGTGTCTCTTCCGGAACCGCCTGCTCTTCTGCGTCCAGTTTTCTAGAATCCACTGTTACTGGGTTCCTTTATCCACGAAAAAGGTTGGGTGGGGCGGAGGGGGTGGGGATCGGTTTCAACACCCTTTCTTCTGTCTTCCTGGTCTCTTTCAGGAAAAAAAAGGTGTTTTATCAGCACTCCAGACTTCTTCAGTCAGCCAGGACCAGGAAATTTCCCACCTCACTTTTTATTCCCTCTTGTGCCTTCTGGGTCCATCCAAGCATCAGAAGGCGAGATGAGGCCAAGGCCAGGACGACGCTGAGTGTGACAAGGCAACACAACACACCCGCGAGACAGACTTGCTTCGCCCCGCGCCACAAAGACACACTTCCTACATCTTTGTTTTGCGAGGAAAAGAAACTGTAGCATTTCTTCCCTTCTTTCAGGAAGAGGGAGGGAGACCAGGAGACAGGGGCGGGGTCAGTGGGTCCTTCCAGTTAGCAAAGTTCAGGCTGGCACCAACTCTCTGCGTCCAGTCCTGTAGGACACGCTGGAAACCAGCCAAAATAACCTCTTAACAGATCACCTCGTTTCTGATTTCAAACAAGGAACCATAAAATCCTGAAATGCGCCGGGCGTGGTTAGCGCCGGCCTGTAAATCCCAAGTCGTTGGAAGCTGAGGCAGGAAGACTGTTGAGAGTTCGAAGTTAGCCTCTGCTACATAGTGAATTCCAGGATAGTCTGGGCTACAGCGTGAGACCTTGGGTCAAACAAACTCACCAAATCAACTCCACCCACCCCCGGTGGGGGCGGGGGTGGGAAGAAGCCCAACCCCCTAATTCCTTAAAAATTTACATTTTGTTCTACCCAGCACTGACGCTAGCTGAGAAAACAAACCTGCCCTTTCTCCCCCAGCTTTCCAGCTTCACTGAGGTGCCAGGTGATGATCTGCAATAGCATTGTCTGGCCCTAAGGGCCTGACAGTTAATGATTTGTCGCACGAGCCGGGCGGAGGAGCGCGGGGACGCGAGCGAGCAGGCGAGCGAGCGCAGCAGGAGAGCAAGGCGGGCGCGGGCCGAGTCCGCCGCCGTCCTCACAGGCGCCGCCTCCTGTTTTCCGGGCCGGGGCACTTCGCGGGGTTCCGGGCACACGAGGCTCGTAGGGACCCATGGAGGCCGAGTCGCCGGCGAGCGCGGGGGTCACGGAGCCCCAGGCGCTGGGCGCCTTGGGCAGGATCGGCAACCTGCTGAGCAGGATCCGAGGCAAACTCTTCACCTGGTGAGTGCAGCGCGGGGCGGGCCTGGGTGGCGGGGACCCAGACCAGACTCGCTGGCAGCCCACGCGCACGTGTCTGAGGAGGCGGTGGCGCCCCGATTTTGGTTCCGCGCACTCCCGACGAGCACTCGGGGAGGTCTCGTTTCACCTGGATGCTCATCTTCACATCCTTAGAAACCGTGGCGATGCTTTTCAGAGGGTGTGCAGGGGATTCACCCAGCTGGTATTGTGAGATCGGTCCCCGGGCCCCGCGGCAGGGTGGGAGTCCCCGTGGACGCCGTGGAGGAGGGCTGGCCACCCTGGCGCTTGGCAGGTGGAAGTGCTGCCCTTCCTGGCTCGGCGCCCGCATTCTTTCAGCTCGCGATCCTTTCCCACCCGGCCTGGTGTTGCCTCCGACTGGAGTTCACTCAAGTGAGAAAGCTGGGTTAAGTTTTGTGCTGTTGCGAACCCGAGACTGGGTCTGCCCTGTTTTGGTGCCTGAGCAAGGTGACATGATTACCTCCAGAGCTACGTCCAGGGAAGCAGGTGTCTGATGTCATCGTGCTCCGTTGGACCATAGGTAGAGATGTTCTTAAGGAGTTGGCAGAGACACTGGGGAAAGCTTTCTGTGGTCACTGGACGATGTGTTCTGGAGACACATAGAGGCTAACATCCAAATAATGAAATCCATTTACTGAGCATTCGCTCCGTGCCAGGCACTGCGCTTAGCCATTTATGTGGACGGTAGAACCGCATCTCCTTCACTTTAGGATATGGCACTATTGTTAGACCCACTTTCTAGGTAGGGAAACACAAGGCTAAGCGATTCTCCTGGGGATTATGAGAGTGCCAGGGTTACAGGCAAATGCCACTATCCACCCTGGGCAATGAGTTTCAGGAAAGATTTTGAAAGCTACGCCCTTGAAAAGGCATCTCATTTTCAGAGCTGGTCGATAAATGTGTATACATGCATTTTTTGTCATAAATAAGCATATTTTTAAATAGATGTGTGTTCCAAGGGGGTAACTTGGCCCCAAACCAACCATTCTCTTCCAGCTATGTAATGTCCTGATATTTTGGCACTAGTTTCTTAGCTGGAAGATGTTACAGCGACATAACTAAGGGAACAGATTTTGAATTCAAATCTTAGTGAGCTGACCTTGCTTGGACAAGTCACCCAAGTCTTGTTTGCTATTTGAGGATCGTTGTGGTACTGCAGTACAGTAAGAGTTCATGATTATCATGGATCAGATCCTGGGTTCAGTTCTCAACAACAGAAAAAAAAAAGTGGGGGTGGAAGGTAAGATGAACATACAGGATGGAAGGAGAACTAGTTCTCCAGAATTGTCCTCCGATCATCATATGTGCTGTGGCATGCATGTCCACACGTAAACACATACGTGGACACACTAAATAGATAAGTAATGCAAGAAAAAAATTACTAACCATCTTCTACCCCCCACCCCACCCTGCTTACCCTGCAGGGCTTTGAGAGGATTCACTGGCTGAGCACACAGCAGTGGGAATAGAGAACCTGGCCCATTTCAGTGTCCTGCATGGATTAGTTGTCACCACCCGCTCTCATTCCCTGGTAATGGGAACTTGTGGTAATTGGGAAGATGCCAATGACCCTAAGGCTGGGGTAGATAATCTGGAAGATATCAGCCCAGCAAGAGATACCAAGAACTAGCAGATGTGATGTTCCTCTTCATAGTGTAGTGTTTTCAGATAGAATGCTTTATAATCAGAAGACTCTAGCCCCTTGGGATTTCTCCCATCTCTCGGTGAGGATTACTTTGCTCCTCCCCGAGGGACACTTACTTTCTTGTGTGGTGGTGGTTTGTGGGTATTTTACACTCCTTGTGGATGGGCCTGCTTGTCAGCAGGCATTGTGCACAACCCTTAGCACAAGAATGAATGAATGAGTGAATGAATGAATGAACAAATAACTGAGAGATGATAAAGTTCTTTTCTTCCTACTTTTCTTTGCTCATATATCATTTCTTTTCCTGATCGAAAATTCCATGCCAGAAAAGTAAATTAAGCTCAACAATATGCTTCTAGAGTCCATAGACAATATTTGCTCTTATTCTGTCTTTAGCTCCCTCACACTCTTTTTGTTTCATACATACCATGTTTCTCTGTTGTCCTCAAGCCGGTCACGGACTCTGTGTTTAAATGACCCTCTTGCCTGAGCCTCCTGAGTACCCGGAACTACAGTATCTGGTTTCTATGACAAAGTTCATGAGAGCATCCTTTTCCTTACCCCATACTCTGAATGCCTCCTTCTGTTGATGTTTATTCTGAGGGTCACAGACTGCAACTTTCTTTCTTTGATATTACTATTTTTCAGTGTCTCAAAGAGGCCATGACTTTCATGTTGCTATGTTCTCTGAAGTTGGCCTTGAACTCCTAACCTCCTTGTTCAGGGAACCATGGGGTATGGAGAAAAGACAGGATACAGAGAGATAGCTTATAGTTTCATAGAAGCTTTTTTGTTGTTGTTGTTTTGTTTTGCTTTTTTTTTTTCCTTTTCTGCTCCTTTCACCAAGAAAACCACTTCTGATATGTGGATACTAAATACAGGGAAAAGTTAAGGGCCTGGAGCAGATTGCCTTCTTTATCTGAAGCATATATTCCAGGTGACCCCAACTCTTGACATAGCTGCCTCCTTTAGGGTGCAGACATTTTTCTTTGTGATTGTTAATACTAGATAAGTAGATTGATTATGGTGGTGGCTGACTGTAACCCCAGGATGGAATGTTCACAGGCATTCTGGGAGTTCAAGGTCAAATGTAGTGATACCTTGTCTCAAAGACAGAAGAGGGGGAAAAGTATCAGATCACTTGAGTACTCATTCCACAAGTTCAATGGGTACTTACTGTCTGGAGCATTCAGGGTAATAGACCCAGAATGACTCTCAATAGGTTTTGTCCTGGAACCTGACTTTTTTTTTTTTTTAAAGGGTTTCCCTATGTAGTCCTGGCTTCCCTGGAACTCACTCTGTAGACCAGGCTGGTCTGGAACTCAGAGATTGTCCTGTCTCTGCTTCCCAAACACTGGAATTAAAGGCATGGACTGCCATGCTTCCCACCCTCCCCCTCCTGCCTTGAGCCTGACTTTTGTTGTTTATTGTTCTCTAGTCAAGTGATATACTGTAACAAAAAATCATGGGTTTCCAGAAGTACAAGAGGACACTTATTTGTACACTATCAGACAGTTTATATTCTGACTCACAGATCTTAATTTATTAATATATTTCAAAATGGTATGGTTGGCAACTTCCTGTCTTTAGCAGAAAACTTTATTATTTCATGTGCTCATCTTTTTCCTTAAAAAAGTAAAGGGTAAGCAGTTGAGGCATGACTTTTTATTATATTTTTGTAACAAAGCCTGTCAGATTTTGTTTTTCTTTTTTGTTATTTCATCCAACACACCATGGGTATCTGTAGTGTTCTAGGCCCTAACTAATCTTTGTGAGGGGCGGTAGGGATGACTTAGTTCCTGTTTTCAAGAGGGTTCATAATCATATTATGGTAAAGGAACCATGGTAAGTGTCAGAGGCGTAAGTTCAAAGTTCCCTGGTGGTGTTGGGCTACAACAGTGAATAGAGCTGCCTTCCAAAGTTCAGGGTTGGCACAAAGAGCAGGCCTGCCAGGGTGAGGGACAGCTGAGAAACTTGAAGTTTTGTTCCTACCGGGTGAGAAAGGTAGCCAGGCTGGAAGGGCTGGAGAGTGTTTTGCTTAAAGGACTGCAAGGAACTAAGTGTGGAGAGGGCATGGACTGGAGGAGGGTGAGCAGTAGTAGCTCATCAGTCTCCAAGTGCTCTCCTTGTTTCTGTCAGTGTACAGGAGCACTCCCTGTCACCATCCATCAGTCTACAAGAGTGGAGCACTCCTGTCACCATTCCTCTAGTCTATGGGTGTTTTGTCTATATGAATGTCTGTGCACCACACTCCGGCTTAGTGCCTGAGGCGGTCAGATGAGGGCATGGATCACCTTGTACTGGAGTTACTGTTGTGAGCCACCATGTGGGTGCTGAATCCATGTCTTCCAATGCTTTTAATTGCTGATTCATCTCTCTAGCCCCACAAAGGGTATTGTTATATGGCATTATTTAAGAAAGTTATATGAAATGAGAGCATTTATATGCTTTGTGCTTCGGGGACCTGGGTAATCCTTTATCCTATCAGTCTCCATAAATTCTCCCAGCCCCATTCTACTGTACAATCAATTATCATCTGCTTCTTCTAGACTTGGGAGTTAGAAGTAATGTCAAGTTTTGTCCACAAATATATACTTTATTATAGCACACATTGAATTGGATAATGCCTTATTGGGGGAAGCTGTGCATCCTGGCCTCTGCCCAATAGATGTCAGCACAACACCCTTACCCCTCAACACACACCCAATATGACATTGTCCGATGTTTGTTTTTAACTGCCTCGGATATTTGGGCTCCCTGGTGCCCAGTGACTTCCCATTTCCACCCTCAGAGCACAGTTCTGTGCTGAGTTGTTTGTTCTTCCGTTGAGTGCTTTGATGGGTGCTGCTCCCATCTGACCTGTTTGATGACTTTCTCAGCTCTTCAGGGAGTTGTCAGAGGACATGCAGTGATTGTCTCTGTGTGGTACAGTGAAGAGGAGAGAGTAGGAGGACTTAAGGGCTCTCTTCCAATAGGCCCTCTACTGCCCTCTGTTCACACTACCCAGGATGTGGTCCTTTCCCAGGAATAGTTCTAGACAACCTCTGGATTTGTCCTGCTTCTCTTTGTTCCTTTTGTAGACTAATTTGAAAGCAGAGAAGGTGGCTGTCAGAGCTTATTCTTTATCTTGACACATTTATAGACTATTCCTAGAGCCCATTCCCCCTTTAGTCCTTCCAGCCATTACTTCAGTGTAAGCCTTTATCATCTCTCATCCGGACTCTTGTGGCTTCCATCCATGGTTTCACACAATCAGATAGATGTCAATTAAAACAAAAGGGTAGCAATAGCCATCATCAAATGAGGATTCCCTGTTTAA